ATAAAACTTATTCCTCCCAGTTTCTAATTTCTATTAATTAAAAATCCTTTGAATAAATCCGAATAAAAAACCAAACCATTGAAATCAATTCTTTACATATTTTCTTTAATTTATTTTAATTGGATCTGCTGGTTCAACGCTATTGATTATTATTCCCCCTGTGGTCTTCATTGTTCTTAATTTAAATATAATTAAGAATTTGTATGCAACAATACTTTAGTAGTTTTACCCCTAATTAATAGAAATAAAAACAACCAAACAATTTGTTCTTCTCAATATCACTAACGAAGACCCGACAAAAACCTTCTTAAAAAATTTAAGAAAAAATCTTTATAATTAAGTTTTTCCAAGATTGAAAGCAGATGTACATAGAGTATAGTATATTCTTTACTTTGTGTACATGTATACACTGTACAATGTACACTGTACAGTGTACACTGTACAGGATACACTGCACAGCTGCATTGGAAACTATGTGAATTTTAGAGAAAGAAAATGTAGGTCAAACAAAAGTAAATTTCACGTTTGATAAAAACCTTTTTTATCACCCTGGATTTCCAATCGGAATTGCGCGGAATAGATCGCAATTGCGCGCAATGATTACTTCCACTTGAGCCATTTCATTGCGCGCAATTGTGCTCGAATTGCGAACAAGAAAGCAATTAAATATTCGCGGAATTGCGCACAATTGCGCGAAATCCATCTAAAAATCAATAATTTTAAGTGTGACTATCAAATTTATGCAGCAGATACAAGAATGTTAATATCTCTGTATGATTTTCAAATAATTGAGGCCCGAGGTTCACTTGATTCAACAGTTTTATAAGTTCTTGTGGTTAAGCAACTAATTAACATTTTAATATAATGTATTTTTCTTAAATGGGACTGCTTGAGTCTAAAATATCGTCTTCCCATGTCGGAGTTGTCTGGTTATCATGAATATTATAAACAAAATATTAAGTTTAAATTAAATTTTCTTAGCATTTGAGACTGAAATGTTAGTGAAGTTCAGGTTATGGTAATTAATTGCATGTATTGCGTGCCTGGAACTGTGCGCAATTACGCACTAATTCCGTTTCGTTAATTGCGCGCAATTATCACGAAATTGGGCGCAATTAAATTCACTTGCTCGGAAGGGCTCGAAATTGGAGAGCCATGAAAAGAGCAAATGTGTTTTGAATTTAAATATTTAACCGGACTTAGATATTTTAAACTATTAATTCTGCTATGTTTACACCATCAGGTTGCAAATATAAAGCAATGAGATTGATGATTGTGGGAAAAACTCAGCTATACATTACTTAGTCTTATCTCTCTCTTTCAAACTTTTTATTGAAACAATAAAGGTACAGAAAATTGTGTAATAATGATAAAAAACACGAATATTCATTTATATATATACATACAAAAATGCTTCTCGCAAATTACTCTCTAATTTAAGGTATGGAATTTAAACTAGTAGAGACTTAACAACTCTGAGATCTGGAATAAGATCTTACATGAAATGAAAGAGGACCTCTCTTTTTGAATATAATAGAAAATAGAAATTTAGAAAATTACTTAGTCTTATACTTAAAAAAATCAAAACTAAATGAGCTTCGGGTCACAAAGTCATAACAGTAATATTCCATATTCTTAAGTCTAGTTTAGTGAGGTATAATTTCTGATTTCTAATTCGAGGATTCAATTTGCAAAAGCTTTTAAAATCCATTTTATATTTGAGTTCAAGGTCTACCTTGTTCAAAGAAGAGACAAGAGACCTGAATATATTTTGTAAGAAAGTAAGATGAAATAAAGATAAAATGGTTAAAAATACATTTTTTAAAGCAAGTATTTAAACTTTATCTGTCCACACTATGCATTGTTATTAGAGAAAATGTAGCGTTAACACTTTTTACCCTGGGACGGGGGGGGGGGTGAAGTTAACCCCCCTATATCGTTTTTTTTTTTGCGATCACTCGAAAAGTTTTTGAGCTAGGAAGCTCACTTTTTCTGGCTTTTCTAACTAATATATGCCCATCACTTAAGGATAAAAGCTCGGCTTTTATACCTTTTGCCTGAGATGCCTTATTAGACTAAATCTATATTTGAACCTACTTCCAGTCATTGGATTTCAACATTTTTTTCAGATTATTGCCGTAGAGCCCAAGGGCTTTCCGAAAAGTATCAAACTGTTATAAATGTAGCATGTCATGCCGGGACAACAATAGGCCTGCTTAGCCTATCAAGTGAGAGCTTGGCAGTCTGTGTATTTCTATTCTGTGCCTATGACCCTACCTGTCAACTTCCATCCAGCAGTTTGAGTTTTCATAAATTTGTCGGTAGATGGAGTACGGTATAACAATTAGGACCGGGGTTCCCCATCCCAGGCATAGTAGGCCCCTCACTCGCTTACTGTCAACCTCAATTCATAAATTAGTTTATAAAATTGTGTGCAATTAACTTCCAGATTATTTAATATACTAGAGCATTAACTATTATTAGGGTTTCCAACAATATCAATTTCGTCTTTTTGGCTAAATTTTTTCCCCTTCCAATCGTAAAAAATGCGAATATTTGCGTTAATCTGTCTCGCAAATATAACAAAAAATTCAGTAAATATCGCATTTATTATTTTGCGAAAAAATTTGCCCTTTTGGCAAAATTGTCGCATTTTGTTCTTCACAAAATTCTGCATCATTTTTGCAAAAAAAATTTTGCATTTCTTGTTTTGTGAAAATGTTTGCAATTTTTCGCAAGATTGATGCATTTTTTTGTTTTCACAAAATTCCGCGTCGTTCTTCCTTTCACAAAATTTATTTTCCCGAAAAAAATTGCTAAATTTTTATATCCAAAAATTTCAGATTATAGACTAAATATGCATGACATTCACTTGGGGCGAATACATTTCCATTCAAGTCTTCTGAACTACACTAAAAAAAAATTCTCTTAATGGAACTTTTATTGTTGCGAAGTATAACAAAAAAAACATTGAAATTAAAATATTTCAATGAAAGGTACCAAGCATAAATTCATAAGTGAGTACTTGGAATGTGTTCATGAAAAAACCTGGAATATGTTAAAAAAGAAAAACTTGGGTATTTTTAATAAATAAATACATGAAATATGTTCATAAATATCTGAAATGGCTTTAAAGGTACCTGGAATGTGTTCATAAGTAGGAGCTGAAGGTAGGTTCCCTCACAGAGCATCCAGAAGTAGGTTGTGAGCATGAAGTAGTTTAAGATAACATGAAGAACTCTGCACCAGACAACATTACTTGACCACACAGAACTCTAGAAACAGTTTAAGATAACATGAAGAACTCTGCACCACATCAACTTACTCGACCACACAGATAGAAGCGAAATTTCGCGAAAAAAGCAACAAAAAAATCCCATTATTCGCGAGCAAACGAAATGCAATAAATGCGAAAATTTCGCGAAATGATTTTTCCTTTTCGCTGCAAACTCTACACACAACATTACTTGACCACTCAGAACTATAAAAACAGTTTAAGATAACATGAAGAACTTTGCACCACAACACATTACTGGACCACACAGAACTCTAGAAACAGTTTAAGATAACATGAAGAACTCTGCACCAGACAACATTACTTGACCACACAGAACTCTAGAAACAGTTTAAGATAACATGAAGAACTCTGCACCAGACAACATTACTTGACCACACAGAACTCTAGAAACAGTTTAAGATAACATGAAGAACTCTGCACCAGACAACATTACTTGACCACACAGAACTCTAGAAACAGTTTAAGATAACATGAAGAACTCTGCACCACATCAACTTACTCGACCACACAGATAGAAGCGAAATTTCGCGAAAAAAGCAACAAAAAAATCCCATTATTCGCGAGCAAACGAAATGCAATAAATGCGAAAATTTCGCGAAATGATTTTTCCTTTTCGCTGCAAACTCTACACACAACATTACTGGACCACACAGAACTATAAAAACAGTTTAAGATAACATGAAGAACTTTGCACCACAACACATTACTGGACCACACAGAACTCTAGAAACAGTTTAAGATAACATGAAGAACTTTGCACCACAACACATTACTGGACCACACAGAACTCTAGAAACAGTTCAAGATAAAATAAAGAACTCTTCACCACAACACATTACTGGACCACACAGAACACTAGAAACAGTTCAAGATGAAATAAAGAACTCTGCACCACAACACATTACTGGACCACACAGAACACTAGAAACAGTTCAAGATAAAATAAAGAACTCTGCACCACAACACATTACTGGACCATTTGCAGAACTTTTGAATAAAACTTTTTCACAACTAATAGATTTACAAAGTTATCTCAATTCAGGAGACATTAGTTGACGCAGTAAACTATCCAAGACAAGCCAAATACACTTAATAATAGATAAACTAGTTTGTCTTTGTTTATATTTGTCTGTGTTTTACTTCAATGATATATATATATTCATGTATGAACATATATTAATGAAGTGACCAAACTTGTTTCGTCAGCCTGAAAAGGGTTAAAAATTTTGAGTTTAAGATTCAAAAGTTTTATCCTCCGACGAATTTACCTGGAAAAGTACTAAATGGTACCAGAGCAGCCAGCTGATATTGTTCAGGGTTAGAGAGAGGAACATATTCTATCATCAGTCAACAGTTATATTCAATTTTGTGTCAAAATAATGTGACCGTTTTCAACACTTTCAAAACGTGCCATTTAAGAAAAGAAAACAATTTTTTTTTCAAGATTTATACAAAACATTTTTCCTGCTTGTATTTTAGGTAGAATTTATCAGGTTGCTCATTTATAGAAACAGAAATTCCAGGAATGATATTCAGAAAAATTAATTCAAGTAACATGCACTTCTTGTTTTTGATGCATATATCTTAAAATCACTCAATTCAGAAACCACAGTTAAAAAATATCAGTTTTCAGATAGAAATATTAGGATATCACCATCATGGTTTAAATGCTACTCTAAACGGATTGAGAGTCACTTAAAATTACGGAGCTAGAGCCCCTTTAAGTTTTACAATTTTTCTAAATTCTCCGTCAGTTCCTCAAATATCTGAACAACCCCTTTAAAAAGAATATTGAAGATGTAACCGGTTTTCCTTATGCATTGTTATTCGACCACAGGAGAGAGATCTGCAAACTGTAAATACTAGTAGAGATACCAACAAACAGAACAAAGATAAGGACAAACCTAAATACATAAATACATACATAAATTTCACACGAACAGGATCATTCATTTGTCGTACTGCCAGTGTTTAGTCTTGTAANTCTCAGTCCTAATTAACCAATATTTTGCAAAAGTTACAATCAATAAAGGTTTTTCTGGAAAATATTGCCACGAAAGTTTCCAAGAAACACTTACTCAAATGTAGAAATGTTTTTAGGAATTTAATCTTATAAGATTGCTTTGTAAAGACGACCTTAACGCTTAATAAGTGATGATTTCAAGGTTATCTTAAGCCTTCTTCCGTTAACTTTGTCTTCTATAATGGCTAAGATAATGCTTTGGCAAAGAAAGTTTACAGTTTCAGAGAACCATGTCAATATTATGACAGACTCTAGAAATTGCATACAGTAGTTTTTGAAGAATCAACCTTGTCTGTAACCCTGTATATACAAGATTAAATACATCTGAGACATCAAAGACGACTTCAAAAATTGTTTTTAGTCTTTTTGTAAAATCAATGCATGTCCTACAGTGGTCGTTGCATATCCCAATACAATGAAGACGACTTTCGATTTTAACTTTTGATTTTTATTCACATAAATATGGTAGCATAGACAAGGTGTTTACTTGTAAATTTGTAATTTGAAGAAAGCTAGTTAAATATCAAAACTTAAATGGAAAAGTCGTCTTCATTGTATTGACTGTAGTAATTATGTGCTTGCTTTTTTTCTTTGTCCTATTTAGGTAAACCAGGCTTCGCACCTTTTTTCGTTATACACCTTAAAACTATTTTCAATGCTGAATTCCCCCCCCCTGTAGTTTACCTGCAACTATTATGGGTCCCCCTGTATAGTTTACCTGCAACTATTATGGGTCCCCCTGTATAGTTTACCTGCAACTATTATGGGTCCCCCTGTATAGTTTACCTGCAACTATTATGGGTCCCCCTGTATAGTTTACCTGCAACTATTATGGGTCCCCCTGTATAGTTTACCTGCAACTATTATGGGTCCCCCTGTATAGTTTACCTGCAACTATTATGGGTCCCCCT